GGCGGATGCATTTAGACCGGAGTTGGCGGGGGCTTGAACCAAACTTGGGGGGGGATGAAGCCCCCCCTTCTCTCTATGCCACTGCCAGGATGCTTCAGCATCTCTCTCTGCTTCAGCATCTTCTATTGCGTATCACAACAATGGGACTCAGATTCTCTTTTGACGGGGTAATACTTCTTTTTGCGTTGCAGGGTTGAATGAAGCCTCCAGTGGAGCGTGAAGTGATAATGCGGAAAGCTTCATTGGTAGGCCTGACGGCATGAGAGATGACGATCGCTCATTCTACTTGGCGTGCGGCTGCAGCGCATTTCCCATTGGCGTGTCCGGTCTAGTTATATAACCATGTCTCTGAGAGAAGCCCATTCGACACGAGCGGAAATGTACCCGGAAGCAGCCATGAGGGCATATTCGATTCTGTCGCTTTTCCCTTCCTGGTCGAATCCGAAACTTGCGAAACTTCGCTATTAAGTCTTCTCTTTGTTTCATTTTGTAGAAATAAGCCACTTGCGAGAGGACACGCGCCAGATTACCGATAGGCACTCAATTCGGAAAACGTTCGGGCCAACACCTGCCAGTGGGGTTTCCGATAAGAAGGATCGAAGATTTTTCTTTTGCATTGGGAAGGTGGAGAGTCGTATGTTCTTTCCGTCAGTCGAGGGCTTGAGACACGAGGCAATTTCCGATTACGAGGTATGGGTTGGTTTGAGGCGCGATGGAAAAAATATGAGGAATTCTTTAGCGAATTTCTCGGAGAAGATGCCGCGGGGAAGTAGCATCAGCGTTGAGGAAATCATTGGCTTTCTGCTTCATTGCTGTCATGCTTAGACGTATTAAGGACTGAAAACGCAAACATATCATAAAGGGAGGGCTTGAATCGCATCAACCTCGTCAAGTTCTGCTCATACGCCATGGTTTACGGATGGAAAAGGAACTTATTCCTTTCCTGAATACCTCTCATCCACCTCGAGACCTGCAATAATCACAGTCTAGCATCGGCTTCGTGCCAGGAGGAAAGCAAGCAAGAGGAGGCATGAAACATTCGGACCGGCAGGTCCAATTCACAATCCCAACGCCCCCAATAGCGGCAGGGCGGAGAGCGGCCTGATATCCCATTGCAGAGATGGGCTGTCACGCGAGAGAGAGCGGATGGGACTGGGCGTCGTCTGCTAGCGTCGAAGGGCAGGGGAAGAGCGCATGCGCAGGTTCAGTCTCCGCCTTCGATGGGTGTGCTTGTGTAGGTTGATAGCGCTCACTCTTCACTCGAGCCCCGCTGTAGCCGTGATCGTATAGTGGTTAGTACATTGCGTTGTGGCCGCAATAACCCAGGTTCGAATCCTGGTCACGGCAATTCCCGTTGTGGCATTGTCACGGCATGGGGTGTTTCTTTTTTCGTTTTTTTCTTTCATATTCGTTCTTGTCATTGTTTCCTTCGTACTCTCTGCCATTCAATTTCTTCCTGCGTTACTCGGTTCAGATTCGCAGCGGGAAGAAACGGATCGCTGAATGTCGCTATTGTTTATGGCAGTCCCGTCAGCTTCAGTCGAGTACTCCCTCATTCTCTAACGGCCCACATTGATGAAGCTCATTTGTTATGCTCTCTGAAGCACCATCGAGTGAGAGTGGTTTCTTTCATCCTTGCAAGTGGGCTCCACTGGCGCTATATGCAATAGTCATTTCCCCACTCATCGATTTTCATGTCTCGGATGCTACAAGAAAAATCCAGCAAGATGCAATTCATCGGAAGAAGATAAAATTTTCCACCCATCTTACTGGAATGACATCAGTCCAACTTCGGAAAAAAAGGAACCCTGGTTCTTCTCCATTGCGCCTTAAATGTGTTAATTTACGCATAGTAATAATAAATCATTACCGACCGACGCCACCACATAGGAATAACTTTGGAACCGTTTTGAAGCGCACCGAACTCGATGAAAAGTGCGGGAACTACACTCAGCTTATGATACAGCAAAAACAATAGTACTGAAACGAAACGGCCACCAAGTGCACCCTTAGGAATCATCACCCGAGTTACGTAATTGACAATGCATTGTCTAGATGTCGCGAGCAGTCACTCACGGGCGCTCAGCTGTTGAGCGGGGAATCCTTCGCGCCTATACCACGCTTCCAATTTCACAGCGATATAGATGCCTTTTGTGATAGCGGGGTGGAGCTTCCTCATGAAAATCGGTAGGCAATAGAGCGAACGGTTGTTCGTTGTGCAAAATTCTGCTAAGGTATGACACGAACTTCACCTCTGCCATCTCAGGCTTCCTCTAAGTTCTTCAGAATACACTCCTCGTAATTTTGCCGCATGTTACCTATTAATTGTGGTTGATATTTCTCACTCCTGTAGCTCCAGGTAAAACATAAAACGGAAACGCGTGATCTTATTCTTCGTTATTGATGCTGGATGTGGAGATCGCAGCGGTCGTGCACATGTGACTTCTCCGTGCCTGGATGACAGGGTTCGTCACGAAAGCTGGATCTCGCAGTAAGAAGGTTTCGACTACGAGTAAGCATAGCATGAATAGGAGAAGCTCGGTGAGTTTTCAGTATCGGTGATACTTTGAAGAAACGGGAATAACGGCTTGTCTCTTTCGTTGGCTTTCACGTCTGACAAGATATGCTTCTTCGAGGATATCTTCAATTTGCGGCCTCGGTAAACCTTGATTGCGAATGAACGTCTTTAGGCACAAAAACCCACAAGATGAGATTGTTTTTATCCAAGCACTCACGCTACATTGGATTTGCACTACAGGTCTCAGGCTACTGGTACAAACTGATGAGGGTGCTGCAAGAAATATCAAAGGGTCACAGAACGTCTTTACAGAATGAGAACAGCAGTAGGAAAGCTGGATTTGAACGAATCCTCAAGGCAAGTGGGTGAAAGTCATTCTACATAGACTTCAAGATATTTTTGAGGACATTTTTGCCATGAAATGCCAATTCCTTTTGTCATGGGTAAGTGTATCCACAAGAACAGTCATTACTCAAACTCCACAATCCCAGTGAATTTCAGGAGTGCTTCAGAGCAAGCCAGAAATCAATGCTTTAGGGAACATGGGAAAGGCTTCTTGATACCATATTTAAATAAATGAAATGCCTAAAAGTTCACTTCAACAGGACTGCATGCAAATGAGGCAGCTAGCTTGATTCAAATGTGTCAGGAAGGAGGATCAACTCAATGGCCATGGCAGGAGCTCTCCTGGCCTCACTCCAACAAATATTTTAACCTGGGGATTTCTCATTAACTGAAAGCAGGACCGGCCTTAGGTATGTGCCACATGTGCCCCTGCACAGGGCGCAAAGTCACCAGGGGCGTCAAAACGTGAATATATGAAGCAATAATCCGAAAGCCATCCTCAGTTTTTAATTTAGAAAGAGGAAATGCCACCAGTTTTGGCATCATTTTGAATGTTAGGGATCGACTCTTCTCCCTTCTGGGGGGCATTCAGTCTCTTTGCACAAGGTGCCGAAACAGCTAAGTCTGGGTAGGGCCGGCCCTGACTGAAAGAGATTGGGGTTGCATCAGCATGCATAAGGCCACATGCTTAAAGCCAAAATGAGAAATTTTGAGAAGAGAATCTTCATATCCATTGGGACATGGGATTCAGTAATTAAAATAAGGGTCTGTTACCTGCAACAGTAATTGTTGAAAAGTACTTGGAACATCTTTTTGTCACTGGCTTATTCCTGTAGTCAGGTGTGAAATGTGTTTCTTTGTGTTCATAAAGATAGGTTTCTCTAATGTTCTTACCCTATACCTTAATATATCAAACCTTGGATACATAGATTATGTTATTTGCACCTAAATATATTGCTAACTGATACATATCAGTACAAGACAAGAAGGCACTTAACAACCTCAGGGTGATGTCAGCCAACACCCTGAAGGCATTACCCTATCAGAATACTTCAGATTCATAGATTATTACTACTCAAGGCTCAGGTCTGACTTCACCATGTCACATGGAACTCTGAACATGATGCTCCACAAAACACCTATCATCAGATGAATGCTGCAATTAGTAACCTGACTTTGGCTACTGGGTTACATATAACTCAATCCATACAGCTCACTTCTCTCTATGTGATTACCAGACAATTCCTACTAAGATGTCCCTCTGATGTCAACACCATGCTCTTTGCTTGCACTGATTGCTGCTGCAGAAGCTGATGAGATGCTGGTAAAAGTACACAAACGAGAAGTGACGATTGTCGAGTTCACAAAAAATATATGTTAGAACGTGATTTCAAAGACATTTATAGTGACCCTTGAATTTTATTTTATAAATCTATACCTGATTTAGCTTTTCAGGCAAAAGAGAGTGTGGGATGTTTGAAAGTGACCACAAGGTGGGACTGCAAGTCTGTTCCTCCTTATGCTACAACAACTCAACACTGAAAGTAAAACTAAAAATTTTCAAAGGAAAGGATAAAATCTGCTTTCCCTCATGAAGTAGTTCCATTGTTGTTCAAAGGAGAGGACAACTTAGTATACATCTCTCTCACTTTGGGCACAGCACAGCATAACATGCTGACTCTCTTGAAATACTGGACAAAGACATCAAGTTTCAATGTAAAAAGGTCAATAGGCATTCTTCCTTCAGATGTGATTAGTAGTCAGACTTATTACTTGAACATAAATTTCTGGCACCTTCTTCCCATTTATTTTTGGATCCAGTATGAAGTTCTGAGTCAAAAATCAATGACACTGGTGGGAAAAACCATGAATGAAATGCAGCACAGAACTGAAGGTGAGTGACATGCAGCATTGAAGCACTTGAGTCCCATAATCTTGCAACAGCAGTTCGTAACTCAGCTTCACCGTTTCTTGAACCCATACTTTTTCCTTTCATAAAACAAGTCTGTCTTTGAACTACCAAGGTTCACAATCTTTGGACAGCCATCTCTCTGAAAGAGGGAAAAAGAGTAACAAACCTGTCAACATCATCTCAAGATTTCGTCCACCTTAACATTGTTCTCAGGGACAGGTCTTCTGCAACAAAGTTCTGAGAAGAAATAAAGCATCATAAAGTTTATGATACTCACATCTTTTTCCTGTATGGTGCATTCCTTGCAATAGTATGCATCAGATACTCCTGGCCCTCCACAGATGACGCACCGTCCTTGGTATGACCCATAATTGCACTCATCACATATTCTGACCAGAGTGCAAGGTCGGACATATGAATCACAGATGACACATTTCCCATCACCTAAGAAATGAGACAAATTTCAAAGTAATTCTCATTGAAATCAGTTGCTGAGTCGGGGGGAAGAGTCCCTGGAACAAAAAAGAGCAAAGGTGGAAGGCAGAAGTGAAAAGAACTCAACAAAGGGTATACTAATAGTCACTTAGAATCTCCAAGAACAAGTGAGATATAGAGCCTAAAACAGTTTGGAGGTCATTGACCCCAGCGTTCCTTATAGGTATGATTTTCTGGACCTTCTAGTGCTAACCACAAACAAAGCATGGAAAAGTTCTGATTCCAGATATGCAAAGTAAAACCATGCAATTTCAGAAATGCAAGATGTCAGAAGATACGATTAGCAGCTTTTCCACAAAAAATTTTGGTTACAATCCTGACTGACATCCCAATTCAAGCTCTATCAGCAAAAGAGTAAATATACATGGATGAGTGAAGTTTTCCTGTATTCTATTATTAAGGTTTGATTTAAAATACACAGCACAGAGCCAAGCAAAAAGAGACAACTACAGAGCTTGCATTAATCAATGGTAGAGTTCTAGGATTTACCTAACACTCAAAATCATTCAAATAGCATACAGTGAAAAGAATTAACAAAATAAATTTAAGTCAAACCTCAACAAAAAATTTGAATCAAACTTTCTGAATGAACTCATTGTTGCAATGGAATCTTACCATTCTGTGCATTATTATCCAAAAACTGAGAGAGCAGGAATCTGACTATATATATGGTCCATTAGAATCAGGTTAAAGCATACCATCTAATCCAGCTACAGTTTATGTCATAAAACAGGCAGAAGGGGCAGATACATTACTGGTACTCACATTTTTCACAGAGTCTCCCAATAGCTGGAATAAGAAAAACCATTGATTAGCACATTTTCAGCAGCTGGTCTAGGGCTAAATAATCAAAGGGTGAACCCTAGGCCTGCCATGCATCTCATGACATACAGGATTTTTACAATGTCCCTTGATATTTATGATCCCTTATCTTTTGCAGTTATTCTGTGGAGGAAGTGGACTATGACAGACACCAAATCATTTAACACTGAAGAGAGACCTGTTATGAGTGTCTAGGTACATGAAAGAAAGAGCAATGGGAAAACAATGGCAGGTATTTACATACCGATACTTTGAATGTGTAACTTCCTCAAGGGACTATGTAAACACAAACATAATCAAGGGTCTTTCTAAACACCCTGTACCTAGGCTTCTTCATAGGTCCAAACTCATTGTTGTTAATAGTACTAGTTAATAGTAATAGTAATAATGTTTTAATTGAATTAGTACCTTCATCCCATAAGTGCCCTTTCAACAATTCCATGAGTGGTTTCATGGATTATTGGATCTGGCGGTTCTGCTGTATGTTCTTCCTTGAATCAGGGGGGCAAATTAAATCCAAAAGCAGTGTAGGTCACAAGCCTCAAAAGTTCAAGATAGGCATTTAAACCCAACATAAACTAGCTAGCTTGGACAGCACTGCTTTATCTGGACACGAAGTGCAACAACAGCTTCAAGTACAATTGATACAAAAACTAGCTCTAGGCCTACTCTTAGTTCATGCTTTGCTGCTTCCCACCCAAACTTATGCTAAGGCCTACGACGTAAACTATATAGTGATATGCTCCAGAATTTGTTTAAAATTATTGAACTCACCGACTCCAGGTTGCTTGCGACAGAAAATCAAATCTGGATGGTGCTTTGCCATCTTCCTTTACGCCTGGAAAACACAACTGAATTTTCGCAGGACTCCTGGCAATGCTCCGTTCCTATAACGCTCTATGCCGCCATTCACACATGCTTTCAACAGAGCTATCTTTCGCATGATTTCTCAGCTCAGCTTTATCGAATGGCTTCACAGATGTCGCATGCACCTCTAAGTCATGCCTCTTTCCCGAACCGGATACGAGTTGTGCACTGGTTCAAAGGTGGGAACATTGGGAACGTCGGATCATGTTACAATGTGCAGTCGCACTAGGGGACTCGCGGGAAGCAAGTTGGGTCCCGCAGCACCGAGGAGACCTCTCATAAAACCTCCGTGCTCACGAGCAATGAGAAAGCAGTCTCCGCCCGTCCCCGCGACTCCACGCAGGGAAATTCTAGTACTTTTATACAGATATCTGCGGCTAGACTTTCATTCCTCCCAGTCCAGCTGACCGAGCTCGTCGTCGCTCTCGCTGCTACGCAATTGGCATTCCAGTAACGGAGTTTTGCCTATATATCTCCGATAGTTTGGCCTAGGCTAGGCCCTTAGATTCGTCTCAGCATGGTGCAGAAATACCAGTCACCTGTTCGGGTCTACAAGCACCCTTTCGAATTGATCATGGCCGTGAGTACCATATTTCCTTCTATTCTAGGCGCTATGATTATACATCGTGATTCTTAAAATAGGAATCCCTAAATATTTCATCACAACTTTTATATCTGTTAGTCCATTTACATTAATTTTTAAATACAACCCTAATAAAGAAGCCATGTATTTCCGAAAATTGTTTGAATTGAGAAAAAGAAAAAATTGTTTGAAAGCTAAAGTTCTATTTTGGCCAGTGATGATAATGATGATGATTAATGATGTCATTATAAATCTGTTTCAGCATACCCTGAAAAATTGTGTTCAGTGAAGACAGGCATGTTTTCAAATGTTTAAGACAAAGTAAACATTATGGAGCAAAGAGATTGCTAAACAAGCTATTATCATTATGATTATTTGTTTTTGATCTACAATAGTTTATAATTTCATATAAAATTTACTAATAAATATAAGAGTTATAATAAAATTTTTAGGTGGGCCTGATTTTATGAATCATGGTGTAGAATAGATACTCCTAGGCTAGGCCTTCTACCTCGGCTTTTGTGTGAGTTCCGCAAATGATGAACCATGACTTGAAATAGGCCTTGATTATATCTTGAACATCAGTGTACCCTTAGGTCCAGTTTTTCTACAGGATTCATAGGTTCAATCCCCACAGCCAGTAGATTGCTTTGAGGAATGTTTAATTTGTATGTCAACTCTGGATTGCTTCCTTCCAATAATAAAGCGATAGTAATAATTAGTCACAAAGCTTCACCAAATCCAATTCCAAAATTGTCATTTGCAGAAAAATCCTTTATGCCAAGGTTCTGCAAATGATTAAAAGAGAACCAATATATGCATTAAATTCTTGTCATGCTTTGTGGTAGTTTGTTGCAAAGGTTGAACTTTCTGTAATAAATACAACTTAGTGGCTTCATTCCATGTCATTGCTGACAGAAGGAACAGCAACCAAGAACCAGTCATAGTGAGGTCCTTGTAGTTCTTCTTATCTAATCCAATAATATTAATTTTTAATCACTTTAATCAGGCAAATTAGACCTGAGACACTTCATGGTGTGGCTTTATTGATACACCAGACAAAGATTTCTAGTAGATATAGTTATTGGGTATGAATTTAAAAAATGAAAATTACTTTATGGAGGCCAATTGCATTAGGCCTAATCTTGCATGATATATATGTTAGCTACTTGGTCAACATATTTCAGAGAAAAACTGATCAGATTATGAAACATTGTTATTCCTTCTCAAGAGTACCTCAGTATCCCAGTTGCTTGGAAAACGAGAAAGATTCACCCCAGGAGTCTTGCAAAATGAGGAGAGCTCACTGTATTCAAATCCAGTCATCACAAGCTCAGCAGACGTACTGCTTTTTCAGTGAGGGAAAGTCTTAGTATAGCTGCCCTGGAATTGAATGGGTGGATCTGGTTTTAGAAATTCATTTTAGGTCACATTTCAATTTTTTTTATGCATGTGATTCATGGGCTTTTACTTGTACTGATTTAACCCATCTGACTCTGGCTGTGGGTATTTTCTTACTTCTTTAGATAAATTTAACACAGTTATTTGAGGTAAACCTTACAAATTCATGGAGGGTACAATTTAAGAGTTGAAATTGAGTTAAATTGAACACTTTAAAGAGGAAGAATTGGCTGCAAATGATTTGTATTGCTTTTTTTAATCATGCTGCATATGAAAATTTTCTAAAAAAAAAAGACTAATACTTGCCTGAATAAGTGACTATTTTGTTGTTTAAATGAATTTGATCCTACTGATGGGTTTGAGTTACATCCTTAAAAAACCACATAGCATTGCTATCAAAAGGTGTTTGCATTAACTTTGTTTGTATTAAGCACCATGTATACTGGAAAAACATTCAGAGCTTGAAATTTTGCACACCAGTGAAACATTTTACTTAGTAGAGCTGATGAAAAAAAATATATATATATTGGCTTGAATCAGTACAAAGGTAGCCAATCTCCTTATAAAGTGTTAGAATTTTATTTCTGCTTGGATAGCCTCCTCAAGCAACCTGAGTAGTGACTTGGCTCAAGGAAGCAGAGGGAACATTAGCCAATTTTCACAGATTGGATTATCACAAGTAGTATGATCCATTCTTGCTGATGGAATCTTCATGCATTTTGTCTCCCAGTGGTCATGTGATGGTTGGCCTAAATGGGATCTCCAAGGCCAAGACCTCCCTTTCATTTTATTTGCTCGGTCAATCTCCCTCCATCTTTGTCAACAGCCGCCTCGTTCTGCAGTCTTGTTCCAAGCCTTGGAAGCTCCAAGATTGGTCCTGGCAGTAGTCAAAGGCCTCTCTTCTTTTGTGAAAGCTTCATTTCCAGAGTACGTTCACGGAATATTTGAATAGTCAAGTGGAAGTCATTCAGTCCTCCAGTTTCTTGAGAGGTCCTAGAAGGTGAAAGAGCCATAAGCTTGAAATTCCTCCTGTCTTTTTCCTCCGATACTTTTCCCCTTTTTCCCTGGAACCTGTTCTTGCTCAACATCATACTTTATTCACCTTCGGTTGGTTCATGGGCCACCGAGTCAGGAAGTGGTTTTCCCTGCTGTCATGTAAATTGGCATACTGGCACAATGGAGGCAAAGGACTCTGATGCCAAGATTCCTCTGGCATGACCATGCTTTCATTCCTTCCAAACAAGAGTTTGTTGTGTACATAGTCAGGATTTGCCAGCTTCACCAGAGAAAGTGCTACCAGGATATTATGGTGCATGCATTTTGATTTTGATAAGTGCTTTTTGACAACTGAAATTGATTTGATACAATCAATCATCATTGCATACTGGGGTATTCCTTGGGTGCCAAACCATTAGGCGAATGTGTTTTATGTGGGATTGAGATTGCCAATATGCTAGAGTATATGAGTTCCTTAAAGCAATGTTTTCCCTCCCATGAGAAACACTTTTGCCAGAGCACACACAGCGCCCTCTCATATGACAGAGCAGGAATAATGGATCTCTCATAATAATCCCTTTTCTCACTAGCATCCCATCAGGAAGCACAAGGATAACAACCTTTCCCATTAGGAACTGCAAGCATTCCCTCTTCCTTACCCCTGAGTACAATGGGATCCTTTCATCCTCGGAGACATTAAGAGAGTCTTTGCAGCGTCTGAGAGTGCCTCTTCAGAATTCCACGGGGGTGGATATGTCAGGAGGAGGTGGATCAGTCGACAAGAGAAGTGATCCCTGACATCCCCGATGAGGAGATCCCAGTCTGTGTTGGATTCGTTACATCCGTGTTATCATTAGTATTCCGCTTCCAGGCGGGACTGTCGTTCCAGGAATAACTCTCGATTCTTCCCGGTTGCATTCACCCCGGGACGGTCTTTCCGGGTCACATGCACCGTCCGCATTTTTTCGGCTGTGACGCGGATATGCGGGTGGATGAATCCGGTTTGCAAGCCTGTGGGAGGGTTTGCGTGGATATGTGGATGTATGAGGGAATGACCTCCACGAGGGCCGAGGTTTATCGATTTCCCTTCTTTTTCCCTCCTTGTCCCTATCATGTCCTTTCACTTCCACATCCCTTTCTCGTGCGGCTGGTCTCGTTCCATCCATTTCATTTCCTCGTTCCGCCCATCGAGTTCTTCTCTGTGGGCCTGAGAAGCCGCAGTCGCAACATGCGCGTGGGTGGCGGTGATATCTTCCGGCGCCCCAACGTCCCCGAACCGATTTGACGGGAGTCGGATGTGGACTGCGTCGTGGTCCTTATCTCGTACTCGCTATCTTGTATTCCGGGTCGTTAAGCAATCCGACTGACTTTCTCTCCCTAGCATCCGTCAGCGAGGAGCGGTAAATATTTGAAGAAGCTTGATGAGACAGAAACGAGGTCGACTTCTCTCTATTCCCTCTGTCGCAGGCTAAAATTATGAGGGACGGCGAAAGCGAGAGAGAACAGATTCGCGACACGATATGTTCCATGTTCGTGCCGGTCTGATAATGAATTCAAGTCCCTCCTTGCCTTTTATGTATCCCTCCTTTCGCGTGCAGGCCCAGGGTCTGCATTAAATATGAAGAGTCCCGATATACCATCTGGAGGCCCCTTATTTGCGTAAAAATAACGAGGCCCCGATACCAGAGAGTCCACGACCCCGTCTCGCTCGGGTTAACCCGAGGACGAGACCTTGACGCGACACGTGGGGTTCTTTCGGTCCCTTTCCCTTCTTCGTTACGGTTACGTTACGGTTACGACTCGACGATGAAAGGTGACTTTTCACCGATGGCTTTGAAAAGTCTCACGGGGGGACCGTGTTGGAGACCTTTTCTCGCGTGGTTCTGCGTAGTGCGTTCTTATCAAGAGGAACGTGTTTTTGCTTTTTTTTTTCCTTGCGCGAGAAAAAGGAATAACAATAGTATTGTCATTATTGTTTTGGTTCCTTTTTTTCTCTCCTTTTTAAGTTGGCACATCCAGGTCTCGTGATTTTATCAACGTGCCGTGCCAGACTCCGGTCGCCGGGCTTGGCAGTTGATATCCTTAGAATCGGTGTCGCCAGAAAGGGCCGCACAGATGAAAATGAAAAAAAAAAATGAGGAACGGCAGAAGCTGGAATTTGTTAGAGCCGGGCCTGGAGAGAGGATTCATGAATGGAGGCCGGGAAGGATAGAAGGCGCGGATGAAATCCATGAATGGCAGCCTGAATATGGTCCCAAGAGAAGCAGAAAGTATCGACCCGTCTCGGCCTTCAACCCAGCATCCACGCTCCCATCTTCCATTCTCCATTCTCTATCTGCCGGTTTTGGGGGAGGAAAAAAAGGGTCGCTGTAGAACAGTAACTCGGCGGCTGTTAAGCGAGACGATGAAAAGGGGCTCACACGTTTTCTGGATCGTCTCCAATGGCCTTTCTTCTCCGTTTCTTTAAGCTTAGAAAGCATTAAATAGATGAAAGGCTTTCATCTTTTTCCTCATAAAATTAGAATTATAATTGTGAGGATCCTGAAGATCACGAAGGAAAAAAAAAAACACATTCTGCCGTAATTTTATTTGAGAAATTATTGGATATACTGAAATGCATATGAGGCAATTGGCCTTAATAATAGTTTATCGAATACAAATCCAGTGCATAATTCACGATGTCAAAAATACACATTCGATATTCAAAGGCGTACGAGCGCCGGTTCCCGACGTGCAAGCTGATCCCGGTGTTCGTGGGGAGCGAGGTGTCGGACGAGTACCGGAGCGAGGACGGCGCCGTGCACGTCATCGAGCGGCGGTGCAAGCTCAACGTCGATGCGCCGTACTTGCTGAAAAAGGTCTGTCGCTTTTTTTTTTTTTATCTCTTTCACCCCCCCGGGAGGAATGAGGGCGTGACCGAACCGTTTTACGGGGACTTTCACGGTCCGCAGTATTTTATTGCCGTAGGACTTTTTCTTTTCCCTCTCGAGGTGATTGCCTAGTCCGATTTCGTTTAAAGGGGGGGGGGGGGTAAGCCGGTAATATTTAATGCAAATGAAGGATGAACTTCCCCTCGGATCCTCTTCTCGAGTCCCGTTATCTCCCGAATGAATCCGGGCCGGGCACGTCGCCAGACCCATCATCCCGCCGCTCTCGTCGTTTACAAGCAGACATGACGGCGGTTATCTCTTCCGGATTCAGCCGTTTCCTCGTCGAGGCTCAAAGGAAAAAATTTTTTTCATCAAGGGGAAGAAAATCGAAGTGGACGGGATGGAAAGGAGAAAAGCTTTTACGTGTAATTCGTTTACGGGCGGAAATGGGTATTTCTTGGAGCTATTTTTGTTGGATTCCCCGTCTGTCCTTTTTCCTCTTGATGGTATGAGGTTATAAGTCTTTCCATTATTTGGCAAGATTCACTTATGGCTGGGGAGCCAAAGAGATCGGGGGAGGCGTCGGCCGTCTCATATCTCTTCCCAGGGACCTCGTTTTCCCCCCCCCCCCCCGATGTCTTTGCCCCCTCCCTTCCCCCCATTTTTTATATTTTTTTTTTTATCTCGGGACAGGAAATGGGAACCAGTATTGACCTTTTTTTTTTTTTTGCTTGCCGGACTGGAATGGCTGGGGACGGGTCCATGATTCTGGATGTATCATTGTTCTTTTCCTCTCTGTGGGGGTAGAAGGAGAGGGGGAGGGGGGATTGTGTAATTTTTGTCCTTGGGACGACCTCCAAAGTACGGCAATGCTGTACTGCATGTGCCTGCTATGAAATTCAAGCCGGGGGCTGAATGAATCATTCTGGGGTCGCGATGCGAGGCGGAACCTGGACGTCACTTCGTTTATATGAATATAAATAATATACGTATATAAATAATAAGTGGGGAAATGAGATGAGATGATGGTGATCGTGAATGTGGGAATTGCGCGTGTTTTATCGTCGCTGTGGGCTTTGGGCAGATCGTGGGCGTGGACTATGTGTACTTCATCCAGAAGAACAGTCTGGACCTGCGAGGGCGGACCTTGAAGATCGAGGCCCACAACGAGAGCTTCTCCTCGAGGATCGTCATCAACGAAGTCTGCACGTATTCCGTGAGTATCTTTTTTCTTTTGTTAGGTTCGTTTTCAATGCCAGTTGGTGTATTAGGAAAAATGGGTACATAAAAAGAAATTCTCAAGTGTATTGTCCATAGAGTCCTCTTCAACTATGATTAGAATCCTTTTTTGTTCTTTAAATCCAAATTTTATTAGGTAAACGTCAAAATTTGCATGATTTCTTGCAAATTGGAAGAAAGGGAGAGGGCCCATGAGCCTTTTCTCTTCTTTTTTTTCGCTTAACAGCCGGGTTGCTGTTTTCATGATGACTTTTTCGTGTTTTCGTCGCGGGTGGCCTTTTTTTTCCGCTTATGCCAATTCTGCGGGGACCTTTTTTTTCCCGGGTGGCTTTTTTCCCTCGAGGGAAGGACTCGAGGTGGCCGCGAGGGCTTTCAGCGGTGAAACCTGTTGAAGAGTCATACTCGGGCGAAGGGGGTAATTAAAAGCCCCTTTTGCGGCTTAGTAACACCGCGTGCGATTCTTTAACCGGCTTTTACGCTGAAAGGGCATTTCATGTCGATGGCTAACTCGTTTAGCCGTCTTTTAGCCTCGGGTTCATCCGTGCATAATGGGTTCTTCGTTTATTAAATGACGAGGATCGACGCCTCTCTTCTGGTTAAACTTGGGAGAAAACTTTCTCCGGGTGTTCATTCAGTCTAAGATGAATTATTCAGGCAGGAGATGGATGAGGAAACTCTCGAAGGGGTAGGTTTATTGATTTAATTTCCGAGTTTTACTTTGAACTTGTCAGAAGTTTCACTCGAAGGAATTTTTCACGTCTGGAATGAAATCCCTGTGGCAATATCAATTCTTTATCTTGAAACGCTACCCTCCATCGCTGCACTACCCCCCACCGCTGCACTGCCCCCCCACCGCTGCACTGCCCCCCCCACCGCTGCACTACACCCCCCCCCCCACCGCTGCACTACACCCCCACCACTCGGAGGCCGCTTTTCACTTTTTCTCTAATCGCGTTTACGACAAAACTCGAAAGAGGAATGAACTTTAGTGGCGAAGAATCGCAACGTGATCGTGTTCAATAATGAAAAACCGCGAGGTGAAAGGAGGCTCACAGCCGGACTCCACTTTCTCACCTTGTTTTACAATGCTGGTATTGCTGGAGGGGGGGGGGAGGGGGGGCTTTTTTTTATCATCGTGTTGTATTTCCTGAAGTGCTTGATGTGCTTACTCGAGGAAAGCGAGACATGCTGCTCCCGGTATTCTCCAGATTCATTGAGGCTTGAAAGGAGGAAATATTGCGTCTTTTTTGGCTTTACCGTTATAGAGCGACGCTTTCAGAGTGATTTCGCGGTAATTTCAGCGCGGTGACGTCAGTCTCCGTTCAGAGCCGGCAAAATGGCGTGAAACTCGAGCCGAGGGGAAAGGAGAATGTGTCCACGTGCCTCGTTGTCTTGCCTCATGCCCTCGGTTCATGCTCTCGGTTCGTGCTCTCGCCCAGCCGGTTTCCATCGATCTGGCTTCGCTTCGGCGGATACAAATAGTGTCTATCGATAACCATCGATCCCGTGGTGGCTCTATTCGAAGATGCATGGGGCACACCCGTTGGTTTCTTGGTGAAGATGAAGGGGGAAGAAAATAGAACGGGGGAGAGGAAGGATGGGGTTGGTTCTATGTAATGGATGGGGTTGGTGCAGTGGAATGGATGTTGGCGAGGAGCGGAGAGAGGCAGAAATTGAGATGAAAGGCAAACACGGATTCTGGGGAGCGAGGTTGTGCTTTCCCGTTTTCATCTCGTTGAAGATGCTGGTGCAATCTCGCGGCAGTCGAGAGGGTCGTTTCACTTCATTGGTTCGTGGTTGATTTTTTTTTCTTCTTTTCCTTCGATTTCCGCGTTTCACTTCCACGATGCCGAAGCCAGAAAAAAGCCGGTTCTGCTCGAAGGAACGTGGGAAGGCGAAGAAAGTAGTGTAACGGTGCTGCGTTTTTCGTATTACTTTATTTGTATATAGTTTTTTTTTTTGGAGTCTGGTTGCGAACTGTGGCCTATTTTTCTGGGTTGGCGCGCGCGTTGGGTGTGCGGGGGAACGACCCGACATCGAGCGGACCCCCTGCGTCAGTCCGTCCCCAATAGAGGGGGCAAACAGTTGGAATGCAATTTATACCTGGGTGGAGCGGAAGTGAGAAGAGAAAAATGGCGAAGAAGGGCCGGTGCCAAGAACAAGGTTTGCGTTCCGCCTGGCGTTTTCTTCCCCCGCATTGAGGTCTTTTTTTCTTTTTTTTTTAGCCAGTCGCTTTTTTCTTTCTCGTTGTCATCTGGCGATAACGTGATGCGGGGCATTTACGTCATTCGTTTTTATCGAGCCGGGTCGAAGTCCCAAGTCCGGTCGTCGTGATCGCATGGGATTCCCCGCGACCGTGATGGAGTTCGGTGGAGCGGAAGAGATGGAGGAGGACGGGTAATAACGCGGTCGTGGGGGGATTGCTTCATCGGCGACCCTGGATCCAGATCGCCGTGATTGATGTCTCGCTGGTGTCCTCCCCGCGTACCCTCTGCCCCTGGGGTCGGTTTCCCTCGGGGGAGGATGGGGGGGGGGGGGGGGGGGGGGGGGGGGGGGGGGGGGGGACGGGGGGGGGGGGGGGGGGGGGGGGGGGGGGGGGCAGGGGGAAGGGGAGGGGGAGGCTGGTTGGATGTTTGCACGGAGTGATTCAGCTTCTGTGGGAGTGCCTGTGATGTCAGCCGGAAGGATGATGATGGCGTGGGCTCGGGTGTGTGATGGGCTTTCGTGGACCCTTGAGATTGCCTTGGGAGTTGTGAAAAAAGGGTTTCACAAGCGTGGCGCTTTCGCGAACGGAGAGGAATCGGCCGAACGTCAGGCCGGTTTCGATAGGGTCGATTGCATAGATCGAAATGCGACGTTTGATTTTTTTATCTGGTGGGCTCGAGTCTTGCCCAATCGGGTGTCACAGTTCCATGTCGATGCGGTCTCGTGCTCGAGAGAATCCGATCCGATGTACGATCTCGTCCTTTTGGCAGGTTCACCCCGAGAACCCGGAATGGACGTGCTTCGAGCAGTCAGCCAGCCTGGACGTCAAGTCGTTCTTTGGCTTCGAGAGCACCGTCGAGAAGCTCGCCATGAAGCAATATTCCCAGAACATCTCCAAGGTGAGCCATCGGTTTTTTCCCTTCGTTTGCAGACTGGGAGTGAGGCGGAGACGGACCTCCGCCTTCTATGTGAACCCCGCCTTCTGTTTGTCCGTCCGGCATCAGATGGCATACGTCGAATAGAAATGGGATCACGATCGATCGTGTTCTCCTTGCATCAATTTTTTTTCCCGAAATGTGCGTCTTACAGGTGCTCGCCGAGGATCCTACTTATACTCTGACGTTAACGCGTTTGCATTATTTACGACCCTCCTCGACACCTATCGCCCATCTCACGTGACGCATCGCCCCTTGATCTCTCGCAGGGGAAGGAGATCATCGAGCACTACGTCCAGGAGCTGCTGAGCGAAGGCGTGACGTACATCCCGCCCTTCGAGGCGGCGAAGGAGCCGAAGCGCCGCCCGTCCCTCGAGGGGTCGACCGAGTCGCAGCAGAAGGAGCTGGACCTCGGGGCGTCCGCGTCCAATCTGGGCCGCCCGCCCAAGACTAAGACCAAGATCAAAGTGGAGAAGCGGCTGTCGAGAGAAGGTATCGGGGCTTTTTTTTTTTTTTTTTCCTCAGGGCGATCAGATGGATGGTGTGGGGCCGTGATGGATGGGTGTTGAGTTCTGGTCAATCTTGCAGAGTCATATCGAACGTGGCACTCGATCGAGAGAGGTGTCCCACTTCCAGTCTCTAATTTGTCATGCGTCTGCCCTTCTGAGTCTGCCGGTCTCGAAGGCTTCATTTCCCGTAAATCTGGCTAATTGAACGAGTCGGGCTAATTCAATGCAGAGCCTTGCCTCGTGCAGGAAATGAGATTACTTCTCCCTTCCAATCATGGAACATGCCAATTAAGAGCTTGCATCTGGATCCAGGACGTCGGGTCGAGGACTCGCTTCGATTCTCTTTTTTTTCCCTCTCTCTCTCTTAGATTCCAAGCTGGAGGCGGATTACATTCAGAGATGCCTGGGACAGCTCACCCCCTTCCAGGAGTCGCGCCTGGTCCAGCTGAAGAAGTGGGTGGCGGAGCTGCAAAAGGGCAAGGTGAGGGCACACCGGCTTCGAGAACCGTCGGCGTTTTCGACGTTGTCGGCACCGGTTTGCTTCCGTTGCAGATCCCGAGCGACGCCACGCTCCTGCGCTTCCTGAGGGCGCGGGACTTCAACCTGGAGAAGGCGAGGGAGATGCTGTCGCAGGCGCTCATCTGGAGGAAGCAGCATCAGGTGGATAAGATCCTCAGCGAGTACGAACCTCCCCAGGTCGTGAAGGACTACTTCCCAGGGGGATGGCACCATCAAGACAAGGGTGAGGAGAGGGAGGGGAGGGGGCGGGGCGGGGCGGGGCGGGGCGGGGCGGGGCGGGGCGGGGCGGGGCGGGGCCTGTTAAGTTGTCTGGGTGGCCTTGAAAGTGCAGCCGGCTTGGCTTCTTGGTGAGAGCTCGTTTGCGATATTGATTCGTAGGGACCTTGAGGGATGCATAAATGATGCCGAACCAGCAAGGCTTTTTTTTTATTATCGGAAAGGAATATTCTTAAAAAAGAAAACGAGAAAAATATTTGCTGGTCGTAAAGTTTGTCAAGTTCCAGGAAGGGCCGCGCTTTATCGCAAGGAAGGGCAAAAAATATCATTTCATAAATGTGAAAAATGAGATTTTTGCTTCCTCGTTTGCCTATCTGCTTCGAGACAAAGGCAAGGCATGGTTTTGACAGGCCATAAAAGATGGCGCCCCATTAAGGCCTTTCTGGGACCGTACAAACTACCTTCTAGAGCTGGTGCACTCCCTTCTTTGCCTTGAGTGCCGATCGTTCATTCTCACAATGAGCCACTACGCATATCTTCGGAATTGTGAACAAATATATTTTTTCGTATGATTCCCTAGATTGCATTCCATTCTCTTGATTGGGACTCTGTTGATGGGGGGAAATGCTATCCAACGGAAGGAGCACAGTATGGGGAGGGTTTTTTTTTTGGAATGGAATCGTTTTCTATGTGAGTAATTCAGAGGGCAGGACATGATCCAGCGACCCTGTTTGCATCCGTCGGTGTGATTCACCGTGTGTGATGTGTCATCCATGCCTGCGCTCGATCCCGTTCATGCAGCACACGTAAACAATCCAGACAAGTAATGCTGAATGAATAAAGTTGCGTAAATAAATTGGTGAATGTGTGCACGATATCAAGTGGTCTAAACTTAGTTCGTGATGAATAATCGATGATGGTGGGAGATGCACGTGTTTTCCTTGGCTTTGCAGACGGGAGGCCGATGTACCTGCTGAGACTCGGCCAGATGGACGTGAAGGGTCTCGTCAAGTCCATCGGGGAGGAAGGCCTTTTCAAACTCGTAGGGTTTCGAGCTCCTTCCTCGGTCGGTCGCGTTCGAGGCGTCGGTCTGACTGGGTCTGTGTTGCAGGTGCTGCACATCTGCGAGGAGGGGCTGTGGAAGACGGAGGAGGCGACGCGGGCCCTGGGGAAGCCCATCGGGACGTGGACCCTCTTGGTGGATCTGGATGGGCTCAACATGAGGCATCTGTGGCGTCCCGGCGTTCGGGTGGGTTTTCCGGTCGATGCTCGAACCGAGTGATGACTGAGCTGGTAATGCAACCCCTGAGGGCTGTGAGGAAAAGTATGACCCACACGATTCGGTAGTTACTAATGGATAAGTCGTCTATGATCCAAATATGCATTTGGATCGCTATCTGCTCCCCATGGGTTCAGATGTATATTATTATTTCGGCTTCCCTCACTTTCGAGTGAAGGCTGTGTCCAGAACTGAAGTATTCTATGATTGATGATGCTCAATGCATTTTGTGGATGATTTCCATAAAATTTCTCCCAGAAGAGAAAAAACTCTCCAATAGGATTTAGGTATGTTCCTACATCAGTGACAGAAGACAGATTTATCCTCAAACTTCTAAGTTGGGTTGGATGGGACTCAGAACCCAAATGTGTTGATCCAATTGAGCTAGCTTCTATATACACTTCTTGCCATATGCAGAAATAGGTTCAGCAAGCAGCCAGTCACATGAACCCTTTCAATCCCTATTTTATTTTTTTTCCAATTTTTTAGGTTATTTTCACATGAAAACATTCCTGATCTCACCCAATGCACAAATCGACCTATGATTAAAATTTTTTAAAATGGCGATTAGAGCTATAATTGGGCAACTAATTGGTTGCCATGGTTACCATTATGCATACTCTCTCTTGGATTTTCTGCTTCAGGAATAATGCCTCGATGATGAATTAATGGGTGAAACAAAGCAATTAAGAACTGTTTTCCCCCAAAGAAGCAAAGGAGGAAAGAGACAAGGAAAGAACAGAGTTGAGTCTCTGTGCACCTTACTTTCACTTTGATGTCCTTCATGAAGGATGAGCCATGAGATTTGAAAAATTCCTCTGTGACCTCTGCCAAAAAGAACATATTTAATAAGAATATTACATATTTTTGTTCTGGAAGTGCATGTATCCTTTATCAGGATGAAGAACTTTCAGAAATTCCCATTGGATTTTAAACTGGGAAGAAGCCAGTCATGGATGTTACTCCTCAGTCTGGCAGATCTCTCCACCAGCTCAGAATTGGATGGACATCCAGGTCCCATTTTGCCTGCATTTGCTCCATTTGAGTCACATCTCATCATATTAAATGGTCTCAGGAAGCAACATGCACCTTTTTCTGGATTTGATGCATATCATTGTAGCTTCTTTGGGAGCCGTCCTCTTATGGTGAAGAAAAATCCTCTTTTGAGTTATAATGTATGACTTCGTGTTCTAGCTTAGTTTCAATGGGTCTCATTAAGCATTTATGACTGAATCTTTGAATAGATGAGGTTTTCATCCCAACAGCCTGACAGTGTTTACATGCATGATTTGCAGCAGGGTGACTCAGTTTGCTGTCTGTTTCATGATTGGCATCATGCCATGTTGGATGCATGTATGCCTGATTCTGACAGAAAATATATAGAAAATGTACAAGGAATCAATTTTCAATGGTGTACCAAGCCCAGCACATTGGTTAAGTCTGTTGTTTGTAAAAAAACGAAAAAATCCATACTCATTAAAGCTAAAACAGAGCTTTCAGCTTCTGTAAGGCTGGAAAATATGCTGGAAGCATGGAAAACGCTGATGATGATGTTATTTATGCATTTTCAACAGGCTCTACTGCGCATCATCGAAGTCGTCGAAGCGAACTACCCCGAGACGATGGGCCGGGTCTTGATCGTGAGAGCACCCCGGGTGTTCCCGGTGCTCTGGACACTCATCTCGACCTTCATCGATGACAACACCCGACTCAAGTTCCTCTTCTATTCGGGCAACGACTACCTGAGTTCTGGAGGACTCGTCGACTACATGGACAAGGACTACATTCCCGATTTCCTTGGAGGAGACTGCAGAGTAAGCGCGACCGACCATCGTTGTCCTCGTCGAAGAATGTTCTAGAAGTTCAAATGCAAAAAGAAGTCCTGTGAGGGCAGTCGTTGAAGGGAAGGTTTCACCGTGTTTCCTAGAGGCAGAGTTTGGCAAAGGGAGGGAATATACCCAAGCAGTTCTTTGCATATGAGGCAAGGTTTTCTCAATGTTCTCCTTTCTCGGTCACTAATAAAACATTGTCTCCATTGAAACCACTAACATAGCAAGCAGGAATTCAGAGGAGAGCATGCACATTAACGTCTGCTTGGCAGTGTTCATATGTAGGTCATCCATCAAATGTAGATGATCATTGTCAATTGCTGCTTGGTACGGTCGTGCAACTTCGCGGCAACTCGGCTTTTCTCGATCATTTGAATTATTTGAACATGCTATTCACCATGCAGGATGCATTTGCATCATAGCACTCAGCCACAAATTTAGGATTGTTTACTGAGCACAGATGAAGGGATTTCACCACATGGTTCAATATATGGTGTGATGTGCCTCTGGGTTCATTCTTTGACCACCAAAGCTGTGGTTCTCATAAACTGTGAAGTGAAGATTGAGGAAAATGATCCCTATGAATACTAGTAGCATAAAAATATGTATAACAGCAAATTGAAATCAGTTTATGTGGAATGTCTCCCATGAGTTACTCACTGAAGATGTGAGACCTACTCAACTGTGTGCTCCAGGATTACATAAATTAATATGCATTCAAAGTGCTATAACTTCCATATTTTTAATGAATTTTTCATAATAGATGCAATTGCATGGACAAGGAAAGTTTTCTGCTTGAAATTTTGGTTATGGATGAAGCAAAAATGTTTGGGAGTACTACACAAAGTCAATATTATAAATTTACCTCAAGTCAGTTACATTGCTACCATGTGGGAGCACCTAGCTGCAGTTTTGCTTTACATGGTTGATTAGTTTCAGTAGACCAAAAACAGCACATAGTCTTGAGAACATTGAAGCGGTACTCTTTGTCTGTGGCATGAAGTCCAGAGAAGTGTTGCTGCTGCTATTAACTCAGATCAACATCACTCAGATACATTATGAAAATGAATTTATTCGTGGGTGTTAGAAAAGGAGTGCCAAACCATCTTTCATAACGTGTCTGAGTGGTGTTGGCTTCATGCCCAAGACAGGTTTATTGCTTCAATGTTCTCAGGAGTATGTGCTGGTTTTTGTCCACTGAAACTAAACAATCATGTAAAGCAAAACATTGCAACTAGGTGCTCTCACATGGTAGGAATGTAACTGATTTACTCTTGGAGTAAATTTCTAATACTGACTAGGTGTTCTACTCTCCACATTTTTGCTTAGCTTTACTTTTCCATGCAATTGCATCTATTGACACATGTTATCTGACTCAATCAAAGAAAATTTGTCATTTTTACTGAGTGGGTCAAAACCATACAAAAAAACAAGCAAAAAACTGAGGTGGCAGATAGATAGCATGTTGCCTGAAATGCTCAAATCAGCAGTCTTTTTTGTGAGGTTGGACCTCCTCGCTGTATTGTGACATCACAAAACTGACATGGTATGGGTGATGGTCATTGGTTAAAACCCATACATTCTACTGTATGACTGATCAACTCCATAAAAAGAAAAACAATCATTGGTGGAACTATTGAATAGTGACCTTCTCTTATCCAATTAATGGTATTGAAGTATATTTCTACTGGGTTACTAGTTCCATCAATTGGGAATCAAGGCTCATATTCAGTATGATTTGACCCTTGAACTGTATGGATTATCCTTATATGTGAGTCTGAGTGAAATTTGACTAAGCCTAATTTAAGTAGAAAAATCTCATTGGGCTTTCAGTGCACTGGCAGCTTTGTATACAGCAAGTGATACCTGATTGTTGTTTGTAGCTGCTTTTGTTGAAATGAGGCATGGCTGTTGACAGTAATGGAATTGGCATGGTTTAGATCAAGAAAGTTGAGACAGCCCTAATTGAATGATTGATGGGTTGGTACTTTGCCCAAGTGATTGATTGAGCAACTGGTTGTAGGTTGAGGTTGGAGAGGGAGGACTGGTCCCCAAGTCATTGTACATGGCAGAGGAAGAGATCGAGAAGAACAACTTCACGCTTTGCGACGACACCATCTATCATTGCGTCTCGCTCACCAAAGGACAGGTAGAGGTTTTTGGATGGGAAAAGTAACCCATTGTGTGCATTGTTGTTGATACTGATGCTGCTATATGATGGCACATAACAAGAGCTCCTTTCACTCTATGGTTAGAATGGCTAGGACTCCCTGTTTTGAATGGGAAACTTTCCATAACAGTGACGTCTTGGTCAAACTTGTAAGGGGAACCCTATCTGCTGTTGAAGGGATGTACTGATGAAATTTAGTGACACTCATCGTGAATTAACCTATTTACAAATTACCAGTGAACAGAAAATACAAAAAGAGCCCAAGCATGTTGACAAACTTTCTCATGCAAAACCAAAACTTGTTCAGATTCTTTGTTTTTCAATAACCCATTGATGGACTCCCCTCCATTAACATGGATAATCTGGGTTCTGCTGTGTAGGAAACTAGTGTTCTTATTCTATCAAAAGTGTATTAGTAAATTATTCACATTTTGTCAAATTGCAGCTTCTGAGATCCAGCATCATTCCTCTTAATGTTCTGTGCACATTTATACTTGAAAAAACAGGCTTTTGTTTATTGGGGAGGGATATATGATGGAGAATTTGTTCAGGAAGGGGTAAAAAGAATGCCATGCAACATGAATCCCATCTTTGGTAATTTTCAGTTGCAGCTTGGTTATGTGGCATTTTGCATGTTCCTTGTAGAATTCACTCTGGACTGTTATGCTCTGTTCTCTTGTAGGTACACGAAGTGGTAATACACAATGAAGATGTGGGTAGTGTGATCTGCTGGGACTTTGATGTCATGAAACAGGATGTCCAATTCTCAGTGATCCACACGAAGACCTCGGTCATCCCGAGAGATCCTCCCCAGAGTCCAACAGGTCTGTGGCGTTTTTCCATGTGCAGATGATGTTGCAAGCTTGTTAACCCTGTAGACATAAATCCACCTTTTTTTCTGATGGCAGGACCCCTACAGACGATTCAGAGCATGAATCCGTTGGCTCCCGACACAGAACATCGGTCCTCTCTTGAAAAAAGCTGGAAGGAGGGAGCAGATTACGTAAAGGTTGAACCCTCCTTCGTCTGCCATGATGGAGAGAGCATTCAAGTGAGTTTTTATAAGAAAAACTTTTTTGGCTGAGTTGTGACCATTGCCTCTTTGGCATTCCACGGTGTCTGCATACTAGGATCCCAGTTTTGTCAAGCCTCCCCTTACCTCATGGCAATGCCAATAACTTTGTACAAGGTCTAGCCATAGAGTCCAGAAGACCCAACCAGCTAAAAGTAGCAGTCACTTGTACTGGAATTGTAAGATATGCTTGTGGGATTTAGGCCTGCTTCATCTTTGTATGTGTCTCCAGCATTGAAGGGAGTTTTTTCATAGACAGAATACCATTTTTCATGAGTCTTGCTGGATTACATGACAGACCTCAGATCCATGATATGTTAGTGAGGTTGAAAGACAGCTAACTAGCTAATAAAAAGAGAAGGCTCACTTTTCTAGGGGAACTGTGCCATCAGAATCAAATGAATGAAAAATTAATATGATATGCCCAATGAACTGTGGCTGACTTGAACCTTTCAATTTAACATCACGAGAGGGTCACTGAATGGAATATAGTCATGCAGTCCTTTCACAAATGACTCATGGATGTTGGTGCATGAATTAAGTGGATTTTGCAATAGGCTGTCAGTTATCAATTTTGCTGCCATTATGTCTAAATTTTTTGCAAAGCTTGAAATGTGCAAAAAAATGAATTAATCTGCAAATGAGGGACTGCTCATCATTGATGTCTTCAGTCTCTTTACTCTCAACATTCCAGGATATGCATCTTAAGATTGCAATCTGTTTAACTAACCCCTGCTCCATCTACATATTTTCATGTGTGTATTCCAGGGTTCCCATGTGACTCATCACAAGGGTTCATACATCCTGCAGTGGAAGTTTTACGAATCTCCACCCCCACATTCGTTTCACACCGTGGCCGACTTCATAGATTCCATCACGACGCACAAAGCCAAAGTCATGTACTACTATGAGACCCTCAAGTCAGCTGACTATAAGTGAGTCTACCAATGCGTTTAAATTGGCACAATACCCGACTAAGTATCACTTCTGCTGCAATTGTGATGAGTACCCTTCGAATCTATATATGGTGGGCATTCCCCTACCCTTTTCCAGTCCATTTTTAAGAACACATGCTAGAGCTTACTTATGATACTTATTTCATTGGTTGTTTTTCTGCTTATCTTGTATAGTATCACAGTATAGTATCAGTATACTATTGTATGTCCATAGAAGAAGCTACAGTCCATGGGACTGTAGCTTGCTTAGAAATATTAGGTCATTCCTTAATATTCATTTTAGAGTTAGGGTACTTGCTTCTTCTCAGGTGAACACTTGCTATTGATATTCTCAATTGTAGTACACTGTCCTAAATTCTTTTTAAAAGAAAAAAATGAATATTTCATATGAGTATTTTCTGAACTGGTATGAATCTCTTAGGGGTTCCATGTCGAGCTTGCTGTCGACACAGAGCGGGTTCTCGCAGCTGAGCCTGAATTCGAGCACTCACTCTGGAGCGGGAAGTTCCCTACCGTCCAGGTGACTAGCGGGAGACCAGGAATCTTCGGCCAGTCCATCTCAGCCATCCAGATGAACAAACACTATGACACTGGATCTGATTCACCATCCTCCGCTCCCAATTGAGTCTCACAAAAACAAGAGTCCTGGATCTCCGTGCGATCTCATGTCGAACTGTACCGGTCGACCCAGTGTGGTCGATCGAGTGGCTTTCCCTCGGTCTGCCTCGTAAGGCCTTACGTTCAGCAGGAGCGTCGTGGAATAGAATTTCTTTTATTCTAGTGTGAAGAGCACTTTTATCTATCATTCCCTCACATGCCGGTGAAGTAAAGAGGGATTTTTAAATTCAATTTTTGTGGTGATGAGACAAGTCAGAGACTTATTGTGAACATTAAGTTGTGATAATTGCCTTGACTCAGCCTTCTGTCTCTTGGCAGATTGAGGACTTTGATTCCACTCACCAAAAGTCCTAGTGCCTGTATCAGGCCCACTTTGAAGCACTTGGAATAAATATTGCATTCTAGATTTAATTATTTTAGATTCAAGTTTTAAATGTATTACCCTGTGCACTTCAGCTGACAGGGATTTAGTCAGTGGTATTTTCTCTGATGTGATTTTTTCTTTGACAATATTGGACTATTCTTCATTCCTCTTCTCACCCTTTTCTACTTCTTTTGAAACGGATTGAAGTGAGTTCATGCCGATAAGCATTTTTGAGCGTCTTCCTTCTTGTGACGAGAGTCTTTGCCATGTTCTGTCCCAAAGTTGGGGCTTGACTTGTCATTGACATTTGTCTTGAGTTCCATTAGCCAAGTGAAGTAAGGTTAAGTATGGACCCTGAAAAGTGTCTGGTCTGGGAGCTGGATTCTCCTCTTTCTTGTGGAAATAGGTGAAATATACTTGTAGTCTTCACATCCTGTTCTTTCTTCCCTCGAATTTTCCCCCACCGATCTGGTGGACCCATAGCACTCAATGAAACATCAAGACATGGTCTATAAATACATATTTTATACCACTGGAAAAAGGTTCAAAGAAATAATTTGATGCAGTGATGAAATAATGAATTTCAAGCCATGAAAAATAAATGAAATCAAGACAGAATAATTTTCAGAGAAATAATCTGAAGACTAGTCAGAGATACTTCGACATCCTCGCGAGGCTCACACACACACACATGCGTTCTCAACTAGGCTACCTACGTGAAACGAGACAAAAAATTTGTACTGTTGGCATTGATGTGGTGTCGACGGCACAGCCGGCTTCTCCACCGCACCAAGGCTTTTAAAACAAAGCCCAGAGAGATAGACACGCGACGAAAGGCGTCTATTTCTTCCCTGCCTTCTTGGGGCTCTTGGCCTTCTTCGCCTTGGCGACCTTGGGCTTGCCGGCGGTCTTCTTTGGGGTCTTGGGCTTCTTCACCTTCTTTGGCTTGGCGGCTTTGGGCTTGGCCGGGGACTTCTTGGCGGCCTTGGGCTTCCTCGGCTTCTGGGGGCTCTTCTTGGCTCCGGCTGGCTTCTTGGGCTTAACAGCCTTGGGCTTCTTGGCGACGACCTTCTCTCCCTTCTCGGCGATGCGGAAGGAGCCGGATGCGCCCTGTCCCTTGGCGTGCTTCAGCTTCCCGGATGCGGACATTCGCTTCAGGGCGAGCTTCAGGTGGGTGTTCACGGGCTTGGTGTCCTTGCCGACGTTGTAGTGCTGCATGATGTACTTGAGGATCGCCTGGCGGCTGGATCCGCCGCGTTCCTTCAGGGCGGCGATGGCGGCGACGATCATGTCGTTGTACTTGGGGTGAGCCGCAGGCTTCCTAGGCTTGACGGCCTTGGCCTTCCCGGCCTTCTTCGCCGGCGAGGCAGCAGATGCTGGAGCGTCAGACATGGCGACACGAGGGAGAACGACGGAACGACGTGAATCGAAAGGATGTCAGCGTGCGAGTGAGGCACGGAGGCGAGCAGCGCCGCTTATGAAGCCGGAGCGCGAACGCATCAGGGAGCAGTAAACAAACGGCCGCGCAGCCCGAGCCCCCTCCCCGAGCCCCGCGCTTGTCGATGTGTTTCTCCCCTTCGGGTTTCCGCGGGCGGTCGCCTTCCGCGGGGTCGGAGGGGCGGGGCGATGGGGTCGTTCGACGGGGGAGATGTCGGGCTTTCGATCGGTGTCGGATTCGAGTCGCTGCGACGAGGCGTTCGCGAGATCTCGGCGATTTTTCTCTCATCGCCTCGACGCAAAATCTCGAACTTGAAGAAAACGATCGCGGAAAGTCGCGAACGGCGGAACCGAGCCGAAATCGGACCCCGCCCCGCGAAAGTCCCATTCCTGCCCCACCCGCCCGCGGAGCCAAACCGCGAACCCGACCGCGGTCGCGTCGCCGCGAGCCGCGGAGTTTAGGTCGACAAACACACGATCGAGCGAGTTGGCTCCTTTCCACTCGCCTGGCAACATCAACTTCGCCGGGATGTTTCCGCGGTTTCCGCGCGGATCGCCGCCAGATTTCGCGGGAACCGCCTCCAGACGTCCGCCGACCCCGAAAATAAATTTCGCCGTTTTCGCGCTTCGGGAAAGCCGCGAAAACCGGTCGTGAATATTCGCAGGCTGTGCTCAGGCGCGGAATTAACTCGCTGCAGATCCTGGATCTTTCGCTTCCTGGATTTTTCCATCCTGGATCTGCGACCGTCCCGATCCTCAGCGATCGCGTTTCCCCGTCGACTGCTAATCGTCGACTGCTAATCGTCGGCCGCTAATCGTCGGCCGCTAATCGCCGACCGTTAATCGTCGACCGTTAATCGCCGATCGTTAATGTTTTTTTTTCGTTTTTTTCTTTTTCTTGTTTGAATGAAATTTTCTCGTTATTTCCGCAGAGAAATTTTCAGGGTTAATGCGGGTTCGCCCGAAAATCGAAGGAGCCTTACAGGCCACCATCGATTGCTGGCCGTCATGCGATGGCGTGCCGGCCGTTGTGCCGGCCGTTGTGCCGGCCGTCGTGCTCAGCTCCTTCGCTTCTCGTTCCCTCCGACTTTTTCCCTTCGCATTTTCTGTCAGAAATCGGCAAAAAAAATTTGCATGCAAATTTAATTTAATTTAATTTTGCATCTAGTTATTTTTAATTTATGCAGGAAATTTTAAAATTAAATTAAATTAAAATAATGGCATTTTAATCATTTGCCGACATCATCCCGAAACGACTTCATTTCAGTCGAGCGAGTCGTCGACGGCGAAAGCCGCACAATTTTCATCGTTGTCAATCATCGCAATGACGCAGCTTTCATCGTCGCTGTCAATCGATCCAATCGCACGAATCGATTCAATCCGATCGAATTGAATGAATCCAATCGATGAATCGGCCGACGGAACGGCGCAGTATTTTTTTTAAGCGGTTCGCGTGGATTCGGATTAAGTACTGCGTGGATGCGAGAGGCTTCCCCCGCGGGGGATGGTAGAGGTGTGCGAGGCGGGGTGGAGGCCGCGGGGCGGCGGGAGGAGGCAGGAGGGGAGGGCCGCGGGAGAGGATGGGGTGGGAGGGCTCTAATGGCTTTCCGCGAGCGCGGACGGCCTGGAGGACAGGGTAGGGCGGCGGAGGGAGGTTCTGTGCTTTCGCGGAGTGGGAATCTCGTCGGTTGGCGGGAAGGAGGAGTCGGGGTCGCGGGTGAGGCGTGGGGGTCGCGACGCGGCGGGTAAGGAAGGGCCGTCGAGTCCGGTCTCAGGCCTTCCCAGGCCTTCCCAGGCCTTCTGAGACCCTCGGGAGAGCTTCCGATCCGTCCGCGCGCGCTGGAAATCCGTTCCCGCCGCGCGGGAAGCGCTATCGCTCGCGACCGGGGAGGTCGACCCCCGACCCGATCCCGCCTTCCCGTCCCGCCGGGTCTCGCCTCCGAGGCCCGAAGAGACGAGGGCGATCCGACGAGCGGAATCCGCGGAATTCCGACGGAGGAAGAGACACACTCAAAAAGTTGGGATCCCCCATCCGTGTCGTGCAAGCGCCATCCAAAAACCAACCGACGCCATATCGTTAAATGACCCATCGCATCTAACTTTCCCCAGTCTGTCCCCGCCCCGCCCCGCCCCGCCCCCCCGTCCCCACACCCAAAACCAATCACGCGGACCGAGGGTGAAGGACCTCGCCGCAGAGCGACCTATCGCGATTCATCGCAGAAACGAAAGCATTCAAATTTCTCGGACGCATCTCGTCCGCCCGACCGACACGCATCCGCAACAAAATAATAAAATAAAATTAAATAATAATAAAATAATCCGGATATAGTCGATGGAATGGCCGCCGTGACGAAACGCCAAATTTTATTGGAAAGCGGGAACGAACGAGAGAGCAGCGCGCCTGCCCCCAAGGCCTCCACCGCCCATCCGCAGTTCCGCGCTTCCGTCCCGCAAGGGGAGGGGGGCAGGGGGGGGGGGCAGGGGGGGCAAGGGGGACGAGGGGGGCTGGAATCGTCGCTTCGGTAGTTCCAGTGTCAACGGCAAGACTTATTTTCATTTTTACGCGCGTTTTTCTGCCAACCGCTGATCTGATCGCCGAACATCCGAAATTCCCTGCCCTGCCATCCCACCGCATTGCGCCTTTCAGAGTTCCACCGGCCGATTTTTTTCGGATCGATATTTTTGCTCCGAAATTCCCAATTCCGGGCTTTAGGCTAGGCCTAAAAGCTAAATATTTTTGCATTTTTTAGTTTTTTTTTCTCGCTTATCCTAGTCGCTCACTGCCTATCATCGCCCCCCACCTTTTTTCCTGTCGATAACACATTTTCTTAAAGGAAAAAAAAATGCGTAACGCATTCCACCAAGTGAAGAATCCGTCTCGACCTGAGCCGGTTTGCGCAGCTTCAGTCGATCGCCTCTCGTTCTCTTGCTGCCATCGAACGGGAGAAACCGATCTTCGAGAACAGTGCTTTTCGAGTACTGCAAGTACTTTGGGGTTCTAGCCGTTCGGCTCATCCGAGAGCAAGTCCGGGGCTGCTCGTACTGGTAGTACTGAGAGGTACTGGAGTCTCGTCTCGGTCTGGAGTCTTTTGGATCTGCAAGTACCGATCTGACGGTGCATAGAAGTACCGACGCGTCCGGTGGAATCTCGAGGGCTCGCCAACGACTCGAGAAGTAAAGCAAGTACTCGACAGTACTTGTGGAGACCGGCGCAAAAAGGAGTCGGATATATTTGGGACAACTGTCGCCTGTGTCGCACGTCGCATTCTGTGCCGATTCTCACGTCCCAAATTCTCATTCGGACTCCCAGCCTCGGACCCGACCGACTCGCCGAATCGTGCGCTCCTCCCCGATTGGTCCCCTCGCCCAGCCGCGGGACCGGGTCGGATCATCGATCCCCCCCCCCCGCCCGCCCGTTTCCGTCCGCGCATGCGCAGCGCTCTCGGCTCCCCGACGGAGGGTCGAGAGCAAGCTCGAAAACCGAGGTTTAAAGTAGCTCGCGACTCGTCGAAAGCGTCCCGGAGACGAAATGCCGTTCTGCAGAGGGGAATTTGCGACTCTGCTCCTGGGTCGAGGAAAATTTACGATTTCCAGGACATTAGAAAAATCTTCAGAAATTTATTGATTTCCATTTCAATCCATAATAAATTTGTTTGTTAGAACGATGATGCGTTCTCCCATTGCGACCTTGGAAGAGAGAGGTTTTCCTAGTAATTCTGCAGTCCGTGGAACGATAAAGCGAGTGATCACTCGATATAAGTTTTCGTGCATCTTTAATATTAATTCGACTCAATGAGGATTTATCTTGAGCAAATGGCCATCAAAACGAATGCGGGAAATCTTCCTCGGTCGGTTGACCTCCGTCTCGGGCAATTTCATTCCGATGCATCGAAAATCTAGAGGACAGGTCGTGGAACAAAGGGCTCGAGCACGGAATGCACAGACGCTTGGGATGGCGAGCGGAGCATATACCTCGGGGCGAGTGCTGAAGCAGACGACGGAGGTGACGTCACAACGACGTCGGGACTTTCAAACGGCGTTCGATGGCCCGAGTCCCTCTAAAATGGCGATTACCATGCCGCCCTCTCTCTCCTTTATCGAGAATTTCCATGTTTTTGCAGTTTTAGGCTTGTAACCCTAAGCTTCAGTAGTGTAGGCCAAGACCTAGTCGAATGTAAATCTGGTTTAAAAGTCTATGGGAGTGTAAACTTATAGATTAAGTTAGCATCCGAGATCAGTCTCTTCTCTAACGTTAACTTCGCACTAGATCATATAAAAGTAAAATCGCCTCCTAGCATTGACGTTGGTTAGCGTCATGCCTCTTCTGAAGAAAACTTACGCAAACCTAAAAAAATTTAGATGGTTAGGGAGGTTATGCTAATCTATGAGGATGTCAGTCGAATTCAGATCGTAGAAATTCTGCAGCGTCGAATTTAATTGGTTTCGGCCTAGATAACGCATGTAATAGGACTAGAATAGGCCTCCTTGGTCTTACCATTAGACATGGACCCACAGACTCTCAACTGAAAATGGTTTGCCAAGAAAGCATGTTCGTCATTTCAACCAAGTTTAAGGCCTAACAATGTATTTCTGCAGTTTAGTTTCAAATGATTGAAACCCCAACGTGAGCACGCCTTTGAAATCTCATGTGTTTACATTATCACTCTTGTAGGTCTTCCAAATGTGATAATATGGACATAAGAGATGGTGGTAATAGACCTATCTCTCTAAGGAGCTTCAGAGCAACATGTTGTATTTTTGTGATATTGACATATTTAAGGCCAGGGGTCCATAATCTTTTAATTGGGAGAGGTTCTTTCAGGTAGCAAACCTTTTGTGAGCTATGGGAGATGGAGCCTGATCTCTGCTTAGTTATTAACTAAGTTATTTTCTATTGACTGCTATGAAACCCTTGGTTAGCTACTGGTAGTTCATGAGTCTCATTGGAGACTCCTTTTTGAGAATCCATAGTCATTTGGTCAAAATCTGAGTGGTTTCCAGAAGAGGGAATTTTGGGAGAGATAAGCCTGCAGAGAAATCATCAGCATACTAATAAGCATTGACTTAATGTGAGGAAAATGGTATTTCCAGAAGGGGATTACTTTTCATTGTTTTAGAAAAAATGTTAATTAGTAAAAACTTAATTCCTCAGTACCTACTTCCGCCCAACTAGATCATGCTTCATATCCTTCCATCTTTGTTGTACTATCATTTTTTTACTTAGTTCATAGTCATTTAACTTTTGATTCTGATTACTATGATTAGAAAGTGAATGCTTCAATGGATCACAAGGTAAAAAAAAATTAATATTTAGCCACAATAGTGTATTCCTTAAGCTGTGGCATGTGGATAAATATAGATGTGTAGACTTATGAAACATATCTGGTTATAAAGAGGTAGGGGGTTGGCATGAATATTGATCCATAGTGAGAATTATGGATGATGAACCTATGCAGTAAGTTTTGAGTTGAGACATTGGTCTCTGTAGTTGACTTGACCCTCACTTCTTTTCCATGTGTGACTTCACTTCTATATTTAATCTAATTTGGTCATTCATGTAAAAACATTAAAAGCCTTCCTTATAATTTCTTAATGGACAAGTATTGGGTTTACAGATTGAGATACCCTGTATAAATAGCCATTTCTTAGGCTCGATCTGGAGGCTTTGCTACAGGTGGTCAAAGTATATTGAATGTTTCATAAGTTTGCTATTTAAGGGAAGGATGCATTAGCTTGAGGTAACCAGGGTTGCTATTTAGACTAGCCCGGCATTTACAACTTGTTTTTTTTTTTTATTGGACCTTGCTGCTTTTAGGAGTTTCTTGGGCTTTTGCTTCACCATAAATGTTTTTTTGTTGGCTTGTGGGAGTAGAGCAGAAATTGCAATGCAGCCCATAAAAGCTTGTCAATCAGTTATAAGTATTTCTCTATGATTATCTCATAGCCTTTTAAGTCAATGAGAACTTGGTTTTTCTCTGAATTGTTGAGGTATTTCCCAATAAATTATAGTTATGATTGCATCATTATTTTGGGAATAAAAAGCTGGGATCAGTTAAATTTAACATTGGCATGTACAAAGAGGATGAGAGCTGTTGTCAAATGTTTTTTTTTTTATGAACTCCCTTGTCTCTCATTGCTCTGGTAATGGGAGTCAGGAGGAAGTTGCTGGACAAAGAAATCTTCCATCCAGACCAGGGGTAAAGGCAGCCTTGTTATGCAAGGCTATTCATTGACCAGCTTTGTTAATTTTGAAAGCTGTCTTGGTCTGGACTGGAATGGATCTATTCATATTATATGTCCTAGGATGCTTGTCCTTGCTAATCATACATCACCCAAAATAACCAGAGTATATTCTTCATCTACACAAGAGTCTGTAGCTTTAGGCATAGAGAGATTGTGGCAATAGATGTTTCACTTCCATGTATAGGCTAGTATGTATCACAACTCATATATTGCATTTTTTCTGGTTCTGGGTATGCTTGCTATGACACCACTTAGTTGTAGGTACTTCCTTGAAAGAAAAAAAAAGAAAGAGGCACTTCATTCATTAGAAACAGGTACTTCATTCATTAGAAACAGGTTGACAAGTATGCCACCTTTTTTTGCCCCTTTCATACAGAAGACTACATCATCAACTATGTAGTGAAATAAGAGATAATTCTATTTTCAGTTAATATTTTCCAATAGAACTAATGACTAAGATGAAATGGTTTATCCATGAGGAAACAATGACTGAGTGACTTAATCTCTAAATCAATGAGCCTGTCTGCTGATGGATTTGATGCGACCAACAGCTTCCAGAAAAACCCAGACTGTAAATATCAGTGGTGATTGAAGTTTTACTTGCCAAATAATTTGTCTTCACACAGGGCAGAATTTAGCAGATACTCATGAATAATATTTGCAACATTAGGGTAAGTAAATTTGCCAAAAATTTAATGTACTTCTCTTTGTTTGAGGTGTTCCAGATGAAAATTGAAATTTGTGTTTGATGAGATGCGGAAGCCGAGTCCCAGTATTCCAAGCCCTCAGTTGCCCTCTGGTGCTCCGATGACTCCGCAGCATGAACCATTTTTTGGGCCTGGACCAATGGGGCCCGGACCCATGGGTCCTGGACATGGCCCAGGTCCTGGTGGACCTCCTCCACATGGTCCTCCGGTACCACATCCAGGGGGACCTCCTGGCCCCCAGATGATGCCACCATTCATGCGAAGACACACTCCCACCTACATTCAGCCAGATCATAAAATATATGAACTCAACAAGAGGCTACAGCAGAGGACTGAGGACAGTGACAATTTGTGGTGGGATGCATTTGCAACTGAATTTTTTGAGGATGATGCAACACTCACCCTCACTTTTTGTCTGGAGGATGGACCCAAGCGCTACACAATCGGTAGGACATTGATCCCCCGTTACTTCCGCAGCATATTTGAGGGAGGCGTGACAGAGCTTTATTATCATCTCCGACATCCAAAGGAATCATTCCATAACACCACCATCACACTTGACTGTGATCACTGCACAATGGTCACTCATCATGGCAAGAACATGCTCTTCACCAAGGTGTGCACCGAGGGACGCATGATCTTGGAGTTCACGTTTGATGATCTGATGCGCATACGCAGTTGGCACATGGCGATCCGCAATCATCGGGAGTTCATTCCCAGGTCCATGCTGGCCTTGCCATCGCACAGTGGTGGACCACCGGGACCAGATCCGGCTCTCTTGGAGCAACTGTCCAAGAACATCACCCGACAGGGACTCACGAATACGACGCTCAACTATCTCAGGCTGTGTGTCATTCTGGAGCCGATGCAGGAGTTGATGTGTCGACATAAGGCATACTCTCTGTCACCCAGAGATTGCCTCAAGACAACTTTATTCCAGAAGTGGCAGCGCATGGTTGCTCCACCAGAGACTCAGAGACCGGCCAACAAGAGACGAAAGAGGAAAGGCTCTTCTTCTGGCAACAGTGGCATGAATCCATCTCCAGCTGGTGGCATGGGCAAGAAGAAGTCACCTGGTCCTCCAAATTTTTCTCTGGCATCACAGGACGTTATGGTTGTGGGGGAGCCATCACTCATGGGTGGTGAATTTGGAGACGAGGACGAGCGTCTCATCACTCGCTTGGAAAATGCACAGTTTGAGGCAGCAAATGGTTTGGAGGAAGCTGGTTTTGATTCTCCGATGACTTCAGGTAGTCCATGGCATGGTGGTGGTGATAGGACTGGACATGGCCCGCCCATGGGAGCCGTGACACCAACCTCAGCAGGTCCCATGTCCGGGCCTCACGAGCCGGACATCAAGAAATCTCCTTCATTGACACAGTGATTCTCATCATCCTAAACATATGCACAGAGGTTACTATGAATTTGTTCATTGGGATGGTCAGGCGCATTTTTGCTTCTTGGGAACATGTATTAAGTTGGAAAGGCTCCCTTTATGAAGGCTTGCCAGTGACAAAAACTATGTTCAGAATCTAAGTGTGAGTGAAGTTCTGGAATGATTGGGTCTAGATCTGCTCCATGTTTGTATTCAGTATTGTTAGTAAATTTGTGTAATGTTTATTGGTGCTCGTGAACGTCAAGCATATAATGATAGGTTATCATAGCTTATGAGAATCATGTGGAATGTAATAGGTGTGAATCTTTATTCATATCATCTCCTATAATCATATGTCGTCTCTATTGACTTCATTATGTTTATTCCCATCTGGAATAAAGCCAAGGATCTCTGAAGATAGTTGTAGGAAATTTTTCTGTGTTCTACAGTGGAATACATATGTTGGAATGCAGTCTTTCTGAATTGAACATGATATGGTGACTCATTCTCTTTCATCTGAAAGAGTCATGATTAAGGGAACTGCTGTGAATCAAAATTCCATACTCTCACATCTGGAAATCCAGATGTTGCCTTGTTCAGAGGCTGAAGGAGAGGTTGATGATAACTGCTGCTGGCCACAAAGTTGACTTACTCTTAAGGCAGTATACTTTATTGAAATTGTGTTCCATCCTAATTCCTGGAAAAGGTTTGAAGAGGAAAGTGAACATTGAATTTTGCACCATGTAGAATCTTAAAATACCAGCCATGCATCATATCTAAAGGGGAACTGCAGGGGAAAATCCTTGCTAAAGCTAAGGGCTCCTCCCCCCTCTGTTCATGTTGAAATGCTTTGCTCTCTTCTGTTAGTCTCACAATGCACATTGATTAATGTTCTCATCTACATCATCCCTCTATTTGCCTGTATAAAAATGAAATAATCTATCTGTTGAATTGTTCTTGAGATACTAGATATTCAAATATCTCAATGGTGACATCATATTTATCTTATGAAACCCAGTATATCATTATTAATCTCAAATAGTAATAGTTTATTTATTTATTGAGATCTGAATTCCTTTTGAAGCCAAGAAAATGGAACACACTTAAGAGTTGCAGTGATTCTTGTAACCTGATTTGAGATTTTTTTAAAGTCCATTATTCCCTTTGAATTCCCAGTGACAGAGAAGCCATGGCCCTCCCAAAGGAGGATCTCCAGCGATTTGATCTCCAGCTGGAAAAAATCAATGCCCCTACCTCATTTGACTTCACTAAGGATGAAGAAGAAGACCCAGCCAAAATTGAAGCATATTTTGAAGTTGATCGTGAGCAGGAAAACATGGATGACTTCATCGAGACACAAAATTCTCCATCTGGGGAGTTCTTCGTCTTTCCTAACACCCCAAAATTCACAGTTGGAGCCTCATTTCATGCACCATCTGCCACGACCACCAGGAGGGCAAAGAGAGCCCTGAAGGAAGCTGTAAAGAAGAGGGTCCTCAAGGATGTGAGCAATGCTGCTTTGCCGAACCGACCTCGCGTGACCAAGCCGGAACCGTTCAAGATCACGGAGACGAAACGCAAGCAAGAGGGAGGGGAGAAATTCATATCCATGGCTGAAGCTATCTCCAAGTTCTACAAGACGCCGGATAGATTCCGCACCAAGCCTGCTCATTCTGTTCCCCTCATTCAGAAGTTTCAACCTGCTTCCCACCCAACCATCCCAAAGTCTCCCAACTTTCACTTGAAGGGAAGGCACAAGACCTCACACTGTGAGAGTCAAGAAGAGAAGGAGAAGCGAGAAGCGGAGGAGATAAAGAAATATCAGTTCAAAGCGAAGCCCCTCAATAAGAAAATCTTTGAAGAAGCTCCACACATGAGTAGGAAAAGGAAGCATGAAGAAGCAGTGGAAATCCAGCCTTTCAGTTTTGATCAGCGGGACCAGGAGCGTATGGCCAGAAAGGAAGAGAAGATCAAGACTATCCTCGAAGAGGAGAAGAAGTTGCACGAATTCCGAGCAAATCCCTTGCCGTATCTGGAGTCTCCTGGTGGGATCCCAAAAAAGAAGCCCAAGCTTCCTACCGAGGCCAAGCCTTTCCAGTTCCAGACGGACATGCGGTCTCGAAGTCAATCGGACTGCAGCCAATCCGACAGAGAGTACAAGTTCAAGGCTCAGAGCATTCCACCATCTGTCTACTCCCCATTTGTCCCAGTCAAGCCTACTACCTGCATTGCAACCCCCAAGGAATTCGTTCTCCACACCGAGATGAGGTGTCGGGAACGTGAGCAATGGGAGATGAGTCAGAAAGAAAAAGAAGCCGAGAAGGCAGAAGCCCTTCGACTCCGACAGTTGCAGGAGGAGCAGAGAGAGAGGGAGATGTTGGCGGAGATGCGAAAGGCTGCCGAATTTCATGCCAATCCGATCCGCAAAAGCAAGCCCTTTGCGGTTCATCCTTCCCATATTCTTCCCACAAAGCCCGTCGCCCCAAACTTCTCGACCCGTTTCAAAAAATAATATTTTGACCCTAGCCCTGAGGCAGTGATGATAGTAACATGGAGCCATTTTGTGTAGGCTAACGATGACGATGATGATCTATTTTGTATTTTTAGCCTGAGGAAGCATTCTAAAAACTTGGAATGTGAAAACCTTGCACCTGCGTTTGGGACTTCTGTATCATTTTCCCCACTATTCTTTATTCAGACTTGTTTTCGTACTGGAGACCCAAGAAACCTGTATTTTTAATTTTGTGGGGATCTCATCCCGAATTTTTGTACTGGAAAGGTGTTCATTTCTGTAATTAAGGAAAAAATAAAGCTGTGCTTCTGAATGCCAATGGGAAAAATCTGTGGCTGAAATACATCCACTCCTTTGACTTGCAGTATAATCATGTACTACAAGAGCTATTTCCTCCTTGGAGAATAAAATTTCTTCAGTGATCAGACTTCTCATATTGAATCCTGACCGCCTGTTTGGGGTGGTTCTCAGAAATTGGATTCTGAGATTAAGGGCTACATATTCAATTGCAATTTTCTTTCAACAGTCCACTCCCTATTCGTTACAATGTTCCACAACAGCTACTCGTTATGATGAGGAGACCTCCTTGAAAATTCATATTACCTGTCTTAACAGGCTTATTTCAGCATTGGCAAGAAAGATTTTATAAAAAAGGAAACCCCTTAATAAATATAAAGTAAGGCTTGAATAGTCCTAATGTGATTTTCAAAGGTGTCAACTCTTGTTATGGCCTTATCACGAATTGGAGTCTGCATATTATTCTAAGAAACTTGATTCTGTAATTCCAGTACTCATGATAAATTTGATACTGATTGGCTCAATAGTGTTAATGTGGGATGAGTCGCCCGAGCACGGGAGGGCGACCTAGCACTTCCGGACCACGAAGTGGTGTGGACCCTGCTGATCGTGAGAAGGAGATCCTCGAGGGCCCCAAGAAGATCATCCACACTTACCCTTTGTTGCGAGTCCGTCCCCATCCCCATTTTCCTTTGTTGCTTCAAAGATGTTTCTTCTTTTTTTTAATACTGAAATTTGTGCATTATGATTGTCGTATGACCATCATTGGCAATTTTCCATTTGATTATTTGATTTTATAAGGGAGAGAGGGGACAGTGTCTCCAAAAGTCTCCATTCTTTGTAATGGTTTTACGGTTTTACAAAATTATGAACTTAGGTTCATGAAATTATAAACTTCTAATGATATTTTGCTCTAGTTTCATGGGTCATGTCATTGGATGGCTTGGTTCTTTGTCAATCTGCTGACACTGGGAAGGTGTTGAGCAGTTCTTGAGCATTCTCCCTACAGAACTCCATTTCTTGCATTCGCTGAAAACCAGCCTCTGGGCATTCAAGCAATTTTTGTCCTAGAAAAGATATTGATTTTGGCCCAGCAGCAAATGCCTTGCTCTTCCTTCAAAACGAATTTATTCCTTGCTCTACTTTTCTTGCATGCTGTGCACCTTCTTCATTGTTGATTTGCATCCATCTTGCATTCAGAACTGGAAGAAGACTGATAAATCGTGTAAAGAAAATTGTATATATATCTGAACAGGTCTTCATCAGACCTGTTCATTGTAAATAGGATAAATGTGCATGTAGAGTCACTAACCAGAAGACAGATTTTTGAACTGATTTCTTTCCATGACCAAAATTCCATGCCTTTCCACCACATTTGCCAAGTACAGCTAAAACATGTTTCTACTCCAGTTATGTTTTCACTGCTGTCTGTTTGCCTAGTGACTGAAGTCACCCGAAACTTCAGCTCTCTTCAAATTCATCTTCATCTCTTGATAGTTTTGATGCTTTGTTATGGAAAAGTCTATTCCTCCTTCCTTGAGATTCACCATCACTCAGTCGTTACAATGGAGCTCAAGTTGGTCATATTGCCTGGGCACTCTTTGAACCTAGGAACAATACTGTTTCCTTTGAGTATGGTACTTTTTCATTTCAGACTCTCAGGTTTTCACATTTGACTGGAAAATTATCATTTGAAGTTACTTCAGCTCTAACCTGCCTTGGATGTGTCAGATTCAAGTTTAAAAGTCATAACTCAATAGGAGTGCAAAAATTGTAGTCATTCCTTCAGGAAGAGAAGGGCCAACCCTATCATAGATAAATTTTCATGTTGAAACCAGGCATATTCTCCCCGTGGCAGTGGTGAAGTTATATTTATATGTAACAAAAACTCTTCTGGCCTTTTCTCAAACTTGAGTGGTGGTCTTTTCTTACGCTCTTACAAAACGTGGTATATGTGCATCACCATTGTAATTCTCCCTTGCAGCATTCTGATATGCCAGAGGAGATGAAGAGTGAAACAATGGAACTGGTGGTCACGGCATGCGAGAAGCATTCCAATAATAACGAGGTTAGAGTGCTCTTGTGTCGTTTGACCCCTGTTGCAAGCTCGTCGCTGCAGAATGTGAATTTCATTCTTTGGGCATTTCTGTAAGAAACTATTTTTTTAAATGAGACTTTGTTTCTTGAAGAGAGACAACCCTCCTCAGGATCTCTGTCTCAGCTCAGATCCATGCCAAAACATGAACACAGGTTGAAAGGGAAGCAAGAAAAACGTCTCAATGCCTTTAGAAATTAAAACCAGACCCATGCTCAGTGTGAATCTGATCGGATTATTGCAGATATTGCTTCTATTTAAATTATTCCATTGCGGTAATGTCACATCAAAGCATGGTATTAGAGCAACTAGGAACACCATGTAGAAGTGCTTGAATCTCCGCGCACCACAATTTGATGTTTCATCTTGGTTTTTGAAGTATGACAAATTAATGGTTTCACCTTAGATTCTTAGCTACTTATGCCATTTACTGTGTTGTTACTTTATTATCAACAGCTTTGCCCTCTGTCATTTGAAACAACTACGTTATCAATGTATAAGAAAAGGAAGAGGATCAGTTTTCTCACTCGGCCGCAAAGGCATGTTTGTATGTTATGGGCTGGAAGCAAAGTGGTCCATGGTTACTTTTATATAATTTAGTTAATAATCTAGCATCATGTAGATCCCATGCTTTCTTTGCAGGATGATGATGCTCATTAAAAAACGTCTCGATCGTTTCAGAACGCTGCCAAGATGATCAAGGAAGAACTGGATCGCAAATATGGTCCCTCGTGGCACGTAGTCGTCGGTGAAGGTTTCGGTTTTGAGATTTCTCACGAGAGTAAGAACATGCTGTACATGTTTTGCGGTGGTAACCTTGGGATCTGCGTGTGGAAGTGCTCTTGAGGACCTTTTTCGGTGACGACGGACACCATGTCAGAAAAGCGTGCCGCCTCCGACGACGACGAGGGAGACGAAGGCGCACCCGACGAGGAATGGGTCGGACCCCTGCCGTCGGAGGCAGCCAAGCCGAAGAGACGGAAGGTGCTGCCGTACGAGCAGACGTACCTGGACGGGCTCCCGTGCGCCGAGATGTACGAGAAGAGCTACATGCACCGGGACGTCGTGACGCATCTCGTCGTCACCCGCACCGACTTCCTCGTCACGGCGAGTGCCGACGGACACATCAAGTTCTGGAAGAAGCAGGACGAAGGCGTGGAATTCGTGAAGCACTTCCGCAGTCACCTGGGTGCGATCCAGGACCTGGCGGCCAACGAGTCGGGAACCCGGCTCTGCTCCATCGCGGAAGACAAGGCGGTGAAAGTGTTCGACGTGGTGAATTTCGACATGATCAACATGATGAAGCTGGACTATTCGCCTCACTGCTGCGAGTGGATCCATCGGGCCGGGGATGCGATCGCTGCTCTAGCCGTATCCGAAGTGAATTCCTGCAAGATCTACGTCTACGATGGACACGGCACCAAAGAGCCGCTTCGGGTCTTGGAACGGCTCCACTTCCATCCGGTGGTCACGATCAAGTACAATCCGGCTTTCCAGATCGTGGTGTCCTCGGATCGGGCCGGGATCCTGGAATACTGGTGGGGTCTGGATAAGGAGTTCGAGTTTCCCAAAAGTGCAGTCTCGTTCGAGTCCAAGTTGGACACGGACCTCTTCGAGTTCGCGAAGCACAAGACCCATCCGCGATGCGTGACTTTCTCTCCGGACGGGAAGCAGATGGCGACCTGGGGATCCGACAAGAAGATCCGCATCTTCCGTTTCCTCTCGGGGAAACTGACGAAAGTGTTGGACGAGTCCTTGCAGCACTTCACGGAACTCCAGGGGACGAAGCAGCAGCTGCCGAACATGGAATTCGGTCGACGCATGGCCACGGAGCGGGACCTGGAGAAATCGGACGCGATCAGGTTCGGGAACCTGCTGTACGACGAGAGCGGGAATTTCCTGCTCTATGCCACGATGCTGGGAGTGAAGGTGATCAACCTGGTGACGAACCGCTGCGTGAGGTGGATCGGGAAGCCGGAGAACCTGCGTTTCCTGCACCTGGGTTTGTTCCAAGGCCGAGCGAAGAAGAATACCAAGGCGGCCCTGACCATCGAGTTGGAGGCGTCGGAGAATCCCACGCTGGATTCCGCGAGGGCCGACCCCTGCCTCTTCTGCACGGCCTTCAAGAAGAACCGCTTTTACATCTTCTCCCGGCGGGAGTCGAGCGACGCCAAGAGCCTCGACGACGACCGAGACGTGTTCAACGAGAAGCCGTCGAAGGAGGACATCATCGCGGCGACGGAGGCGTCGGGACAGCAGCGCCTGTACGAGACGGCAGTGCTCCACACGACCTTGGGGGACGTGCACGTCAGACTCTTCCCGAAGGAGTGTCCCAAGACGGTGGAGAACTTCTGCCTTCACAGCAAGAACGGATACTACAACGGGCACATCTTCCATCGGGTGATCAAGGCCTTCATGATCCAGACGGGGGACCCGACGGGGACGGGGACCGGGGGGGAGAGCATCTGGGGCGGGGAGTTCGAGGACGAATTCCACCCTTCCCTGAGGCACGACCGTCCGTACACGCTCAGCATGGCCAATGCGGGACCCAACACGAACGGGAGTCAGTTTTTCATCACCGTCATCCCGACTCCGTGGTTGGATAACAAGCACACGGTGTTCGGGAGGGTGACGAAGGGGATGGAGGTCATCCAGAACATCAGTAACGTGAAGACGCATCCGAAGACGGATAAGCCGTACGACGACGTCTCCATCATCAGCATCACCGTCAAGTGAAAGAAATCCGATCAGATGAGGGTTTCCATTTTTTTTTCTTAGGGATTTTTGAATGTGTGGTTGAGAATTTGAATCTTTTTGGGTCTTTCTTTTTTAAGGTGGAATAAAAAGTCTTGTTCTTCACCTTGTTATTGGTCAGTGTTATGGTTATCGTCGGGAAGATGTGTCGGTATTGAACGCAGCAATGCTCCGATTTCTGTTGGAAAAGGGAAGGTCGCCTTTGGGGTAGTCATTCCAAGTCAACACAACAAAACATGATTCTCTTCCGTTTTGTTGATATTTGGACCAAAGCTCTGAACTATTGCGAAAGTGGGATGTTGAAATATTTTTGTCTTCAGGCAGTTGGTAAAGTCTTTTTTTCGGCCTTTTCCGATGATTTCATGCGTAGAATGTCATCCAACAAGGTAACACGTAGTTCCAAAATAGATGCCATGAACTTTGACCTCACTTAGCAAAAATACATCATCTGGGATTTCCGTGAAATTTGGCTCGCATATTTTGCTAAACATGTAAAATATGTTTGCAAAAAAAAAATTACCTTGGGACACTTTACTCATCCAGATTTGGGACTTTTTCTCTGAAAATTGGAGAAACGTCTCTAGTCAGTCGACACATAGGGCAACTATGAGACAAAATCAGGACAAAAAAAGACTCATTAAGGCGTTCTGATCACAAAGCACGGTATCCGTCGACGTCGAAGCAAGAGTCTGCATAATTAGATAGAAACGGAACGGTGCCGTAATGAGTTCTGCAAAGCAGCCACCATGTTCCTCAAGGAAAAAACTTCGCCAGGAGGAAACTCATCAAGCCAGAAGGAGTTTCATATTGGTTTTCTCAGAACTGCTTGGCGAATTCGTATCATTACTCCTTGAGTGTTTCTAATTCATTAAAAATTTTTGACAGCCTTAAGAGATATAATGTTTGGTCTCGTTTCCATCGACAACACGCAATTTTTATGGGAAATATTTTTTATTTCCTTCAAATTATCTGTTTACCATGTAAAAAAATTGTGTACATTCAAGGAGAAAGAGGAGAGACGGGTTCTTCCATCCCATGATCGCCCTCTCGAGGGCGATCATAGACGTCTCAGCGAAATACGTCATGGAAAATATTTATGGCAGATCGACTTGGAAAGACTGCAAGCATCTGTCGCCCTGCAATGCATATTGAATTTTCACAAGTTGTCACAGAATCACGGCGTTATCTCTAGAACATTGCAACATTGAATGAAATCATGCATTTACATCACAAATCAATGAAGGGAATTGGAATAGGGATTAACCATCTGGATCAGTCGCGTGAGGAATCGTTATTCCCTCGAAGGAGAATGGGATCATCCTTCATATAGGATAATTATTTAAAGTTAACCGACTATATTTCCCCAAAGATTGAATTCTGCACGTGAAAAAAAGAGAAGTTTAAGACTGTTGGCAAATATTTATTAATAAGGAATACTAAAGGAATAGCGATTTGCGATTGCTAAACAGTTCTACGAAAACCAGTATGAACCTAGCTTAATGCATGCCCAATTAAGGTAATTGGGCATGCATTAAGCAACAGGCAAGTTTTCCCACGAGGAGCATAATTTATTTTTTATTTTTGGCTGTTTTTGAGAGAGCTCTTTACGACGCCAATCCGTTTTTCCTAGACTAATTTAAAGCGACTCCTGCTTAGATAGAGGATGGATTGCGTGAAACTGACTTTAGCCTGATGGAGCTTTAAACCTCCTTTAGCGTCGTTAAAGGCGCTTTAAACCTCCTTTTGACATCCTTTAGCTCCTTTTAAGGAGGTTTAAAGCTCCAGCAGGCTGAAGTCAGTTTCACGCAATCCCTCCATTGACACCGTTGATGCGATAATCAGATTACCTTGATTTAAAAAAAAAAGAAACGGATTTGTGCATTATGAATAGGACGTGACATTGGGTTGAGATTTTTCCTTTAATTTTCAAAGTGAGAGAGGGGACAGTGTCTCCCAAAGTCTCCATTTTCTATAATGGTCTTAAACTTTCGGGAAATTATGAACTTTGATATTTTGCTCTGGTTTCGTGGGTCAAGTCATCGAATGGATCGGTTCTTTGCCAATCCGCCAACCGGGGGGCACTGGGGAATTCTCCAGCATCTTTCCGCATCCGCGGGAAACCCTCTCCCCTGGGCATTCATGCAATTTTTTTTCTCCTCGAAGGCCATTGATTGCGGCCCAGCAGCAAATGCCTTGCTCCTCCGTCGAAACGAATTTCTCCCTTGCTCTGCTCTTCTTGCACCTTCTTCATTTTTTATTTGCGTCTTTCTCGCATTGAGAATCGGAAGAAGACTGAAAGATCTGATAAAAATTGTATATTCTTCATCGAACCTGTTAATACTTAATGGGGTGAATGTGCATGTCGTCAGAAGACAGATTTTTCAACCGATTTCTCTTCATGATAAAAAATCCTTGCAATTCCACCACTTTTACCAAGTACAACTAAAACACGTCCCTACTCCAATTTTCACTGCTGTTTGGTTGCCTCATGACTGAAGTCATTTCGACCCAAACATCAGCTCTCATCGGCAGTTTCTCAACGAGCCGGTTGTTGCCCCGTCGCCGTCGACAAGAAAAACTTGTCTGGAAAAAACGGTTAAACTTACTGCTGTGTTTATTCTAATTTCATGCAACCTTTTTTTTTATTTATTTTCTTGAAATTACTGTTGCCCGGTTAAGCCAATTACGCCCTTAACCCTACAAAACATGATTTTTTTATGTACCAAAAACATTTTTGACGATCATATTTTTCCATGTGGTTGCTGAGAAAAATATATATATTTAAATCTTTCTTTTTGGTTTTTCTATTGTACCATAATACAGGGTGTTTCACAAAAATGTTTACCATTTTGAATTGCCATAACTTCTTTATTATGACGAATGTTCACACGCCTCGGACAGCCCGTCGACTTCTTGCTGTGAGAAATGAGTCACCGAGCGAATCGCTCGCAGCCGCTCAAGACAAATGCGGGCAGTATGGCAGAGAAAAAAAAAAATATTCCGTTTGTAATGCACTTTCGGCCAGAAAAAAAAGTCCTCCTAAATAATACTTGATATGCAGAAACGGAACATTTTTTTTCCAGCAAGATGGAACACCCTGCCATACTGCCCGCATTTGTCTCGAGTGGCTGAGACAGAGATTCGCTCAGCTTCCTACTTGCTTTCCAGTAAATCAAAGATTTTAGAGTTTCTCTGCGATTATGTTTTTTTTTTAAGTGAATATTCATTATAATAAAGAAGGTATGGCAATTCAAAATGGTAAACATTTTTGTGAAACACCCTGTATTATGGTACAATGGAAATACAAAAAATATA